CCACCCCTACACCACCCCCTCACACTTACTCCTACACCTGCCACCTCAACTCCCATTCCTATCTACACCTCCCCCTTACACCCCACCCTCTCACCCCCCACCAGCTTCCAGTCTCCCCTGCTGCCCTCACTGGGTGGAACCTAAAAAGCTGAAAACAGAAAACTATTTTGCAGCGTCCTAGAAACTATGACATGGGCCTCACGCACAGAGTATGAAAGGTGCTTCCGGTGCTGAGAGACATGCTTTGACAACCAGCACGTACAGACACACACACTGCTGCTCGTTACACTTGTCTTCAGTAGCAACAACTCACACATCAATAAAGGATCAAACCAGTAAATCAGGGCACACCAATAAGGTGAAATCCCACAGAAATTAAAATAAATGAGGCAGTGCTACAGACACAGAGTGGAAAAGACAGAATATTTTGTAGTGTTATCCAATTTTGTTTCTAAGAAAATAATACTGAAAATAACAACAGAGAAAGCACACACACACACACATATATACGTACGTACACATATATGTGAAATTGTCTGAGGGATATAAACAAAAGCTGTAACCTCATTTGTATCTAGGAGGTGGGATTACAAGGGACTTTCTATGTTTTTACAGCTCTGTTTTATTTCACTTTTTTCCCAAGGTTGAAGGCTTAAAAAAAATGAAGAGTTTTCTTTAATAACAGTCCTTTAAAATTCTATTTACAAGGCCTACTAACATCAACTTTTATTCTGAAAAATCACGAATAACTTCCTTTTATTTATCCTGAGCTTACCCCAGTGGCTTCATCCCCCATATTCCAGATTTTTAAATAGTCATGGGTCACTTAACACCAGGGATATGCCCCGAAAAATTCATTGTTAGGAATTGTGTTGGGCAAACAGCAGAGTGGACTTACACAAACCTAAATGGCAAAGCCCACTGGCACCTAGGCTGTGCTATATACATAGCACAGCTATTGCTCCTGCGCTACAAACCTGTTACTATGCTGAACACTGCAGGCAGCTGTAACATTATGGTAAGGATTTTGTATCTAAATAAATCTAAACTTGGAATAAGCGCAGTAAAAATACCGTATGATAATCTGAGGGAGGCACTGTCACACACGCAGTCCATCACTGAGTGAAATGTCATGACACGGCAAACCCTTACATCTAATAATATATATTTTGTATACTTAGAGATGCTGTTCAAGACTGTGTGTGTATGGGGGGGGCACACAGACCCAATGATACCAGAATGGTATCCCTTCCCCTGATTCCAGAATGCATTTTGGACTCTATCAACTGATGTTCAAAAAACAACTCATTCCTTCAACAAATATTTACTAACACCCAGCGCTGTACCAGGCACCGCGTGGATACTGAACACACAGCAAAAAGCGTGGCAAATAAGAGCCTTGACCTCCTGGAGCTCCCCTTCCAGAGGGAAAGACAGGCTACTCGTACAAGTAAACAAGTCACACTTTTATACAGAGATAAATGCTACCAAGAAAATAAGCAGGATAAAGTGAGCCCAGTGTGACGGGAGATGCGCCGACACACGAGAGCATGTCAGGAGGCCTCCGTGAGGACCACAGCACGACCAAAGAAGATGCTGTGAGCCAGGGAGGGGAGTGTGATACAGCAGGTGCAGAGGCCCTGAGCCCATGACATGCCAAGCGGCCAGGGACAGAGGAAGCCCCCAAAGATGTGCCAAGGCCACAAGTGTCCTGAGCAGAGCCTCCTGCCCTCACACCCACTCACCCAGGCTCCCTCTCCTGCATGAACAGACTTACTAATACATAAGCCTCCCCCTTTCCACAGGGGCAAATGGAGAAATTACATCTCCAGGCATGCTGGGTAGCATTATGTACACGTACGCCTGCCACCCGCAATCCTGCTCCCGACATGCTGCCTAGAAGCTGCCACCCACTGTTCACTCTGTTACCACCTCCAGGATGCATTCCACAGGCTAGGAGCTGTTCCAGGCTGGACCAGACAGCCACACACATGCCCGCATGGAGCTCACATTCTCAGGAGGAAAGACAGACATAACTGCTACACAAAAATAAGGAAAGCAGGACAGGGTTAAAGGAAAGCAGCAATTTCAAAAAGGATGATCATAATGGAAAGGACTCAGGGCAATGAGTACACCTGGTGCCCAAATTCGGGTCTAAATACCATTATCTGTGAGAAAGAACCAGGGGAATACAAGGTGAACCTGGGGTTCCAGGCAAAGGCAGAAACCAAGGAAACAGTCAAGCAGCAGTGGGCCCCGTGCCAAAGGATGGAGCCAGCACCAAGGGCTCCCTCTGTTCCGTTTGGGGCTGTCATTGATTATACCACATTGAAAGAATATTACTATTACAGAATCAGGAAATTCCAAGCTCCATATTCTTTAATTAAACCTTTTCGTTAAAAAGTATCTGCAGCCAGAGGCTACAAATATCAATTAGTAGAGTAACAAGAAATCTTGAAAGAATGAAAGGCTGTTCACACAGGGGCTCTGAAAAGACAAAGGACTGCACCAGCCAATTACCTTGTGAGAGAAATAAGAAAAGTTGAGCAAATATTTACATATCAGTTACTGTAAAAGTTAAATCTATATTCATTCTGTATGTTACCATTAAAAAACTTAATCACTAAGTCTATTTGCTAAAAAAGGGGAAAAGACTTTTCCATATTACAGAAATATTTCTTTTAATAGTTCTAAGAGATAGTGACTCATAGCTTTGAGACAATGAATGTTTACTATAGATAATCATGTTTACTTTCATTTATGGTCAACTGATTTTCAATAAGGGTGCCATGACAATTCAGTGGGAAAGAATAGTCTTTTCAACAAATGGTGCTGGGACAACTGGATATCCACATGCCAAAGAATGGATCTGGAGCCCTACCTCACACCATACACAAAAATTAATTCAAAATAGATCAAAATCCTAAATGTAAGGGCTAAAATTATAAAATTCCTAAAAGAAAACATAGAAGTAAATCTTCATGACTTTGGATTAGGCAATGGTTTCTTAGATATGACACCAAAAACATAAGCGGCAAAAGAAAAAATAGATAGGCCCGGCGCAGTGGCTCACTCCTGTAACCCTCGCACTCTGGGAGGCCAAGGCGGGAGGATCGTTTGAGCTCAAGAGTTCGAGACCAGCCTGAGCAAGAGCAAGATCCCGTCTCTACTAAAAATAGAAAAATTAGCCAGGCATGGTGGTACATGCCTGTAGTCCCAGCTACTCGGGAGTCTGAGGCAGTAGGATCGCTTGAACCCAGGAGTTTGAGCTTGCTGTGAGCTAGGCTGACGCCACGGCACTCTACCCTGGGCAACAGAGTGAGACTCTGTCTCAAAAAAAAGAAAAAATAGATAAATTGGACTACATCAAATTTTAAAACTTTTGTGCTGCAAATGATGCTAGCAAGAAAGTAAAAAGATAACTCACTGTATTGGACAAAATAGCTGCAAATCATTTATCTGACAGGAGACTTGTACCCAGAATACATAAAGATCTCTTACAATTCAATAATAAAAGACCAATAATCCAATTTAAAAATGGTCAAAGGATTCGGATAGACATTTCTCCAAAAAGATACAAAAATGGCCAATAAGCACATAA